AGAAGAAACGCAAGCGGTACGCTTAGAACGAAGAATTGTTCGATTTATTCATCATCACGCTTGGTACAGCAATGTATGTTGAGGAGTTCATACGGGAAAACAGAGAGTAACTATTGATTGAACAAAAATTTTTAAATGCTTAACGTAACGTGTCATGTGGTCAAGTGACTGAAGGCATGTGATACCACTGAGTGAGGTCCGATCCATCTTTATTACTGACTTGCCAGGGTAGTTGTAATGCTTGTACATGTTGCTTCTGAATGCATAGGTTTGGTTTTGTCAACCCGATGCATATCGCTTCAACGGTAGCAAGTAGCCGAGCCCCTGACCGATGGTGTAACTGCGATGGCACTCGATAGACGATCTCTAATAACTTGCGCTTATCAATCAGCTGATTGGTGCAGATCAGATGCTTAATTATTGCACTCAACTTAGTTTTGTCCTGTTGGGTGACGAGCGATGTTGGTACATGTTCCTTGATTCGCCTTTCCAAGTGTCTGGTCGTGCGCCCAATGTACCTAGCCCACAGGAGCAGGTGAACCGGTAGAGTACCATTGATTGGCATTGATCAGGCATCTTGTCTTTGAACCTAGGAACAAAGAGCGAACGGCTTGTAAAAACGACACTCAGTTGAGCTGCATTAAAGGTCTTTCGGCAAGTCTGTATCAATCGTCGTGTTCATATTTCCGCCAGTATGTCACCTTTAAAAGGGAGTTGGGGAAATAGCTGTTTCTTTTCCACTGTTTGTACTGTTGGTCTTGGACTACTCGACTTTATATGAACGTCAATGAATGGTTTTGGATGACCGTTTTCGCGAAGTGTTTGCCTGATTTGCTTCATTTCTTCTTCAATTGTGTCCTCACTACAGATTTTCCGTGCACGATTGTCTAGTGTGTGTACCAGTGTTCTTTTTCGGCTTATTGGCACAAAACTTCGGAAGTGTGTGTATTGGCCTGTCCAATACGGCTTTCTATAGACTCCTATCTGAATTGATCCATCTTCTCGTCGCTTTAAGTTTGCATCTAAGAAGTGCATTTGGTTATCAATTTCTTCCTCAACTGTGTATGTGGCGTTGGCGTCGAGTGTTTTAACACTCGACGACATTTTGCAAGTTATTCGTTTGTTCAATTATGCAGAATCTGTCGTCAACATAACGTCGGTAGAAATGTAGGCCCGAGATAACCTATTTTAATGGGCCATCCTCTAACATTCCCATATAAATATCAGCCAATAGTGGTCCGAGAGGTGATCCCATCGCCACCCCATCTACTTGTCTGTACAATTCATTGTTGAGTTGAAATTATGTGTTATAAGTGCATCTGAGTAATAGCTGCTTCAGATAGACAGTTGGTATTTCGATCTTTATCTTGTATTGCTCAATATAAGTACGAAGAAAGTTAACTGTTTCTATATGTGGGGCATTCGTGAGCAGGGATACGACGTCCAAAGAAAACATTCGATATGGAAATTATAGTGTTGCTCATCCCAACACTGGCACCCCAAGACCGCGGTTTCGTCCTGGTTGGGACTCATCAGTTGGAGATAGCCTGAGTTGGGCTGGAACTCAGAGCCTAGTGGCTCATGGTTGACGCCATAAGCACTATGCCACTGAGATCCGCGAGCAACGCTTGGTCCAGCGGAAACGAATTCAAAGTTGAACTTGGAGAATTCGCTGGTGGTTGGGTTGCTACAAGCAACCTCTATTGAGACCTCGGTTCACTTGAGGTGGACCTCGGTCATTCCGATCAAAAAGACCGTAAGTAAAATGGAAAACATTCGATAGCCTAAGATGTTCATAGTTTTAACGTTTTCCACAAATTGAAAAGTGTCCGTAATTTGATGAGGGGCTATCCTTTTCCTAATCGGATCCAAAATAGACGTTAACCATTTTGCGATGGTATGATGTGGTGAGTTCCTCATATCAAATATCGGTCGCAGTGGTGCACCTGGCTTGTGTGTTTTTGGGAGACCGTAAGGTCTAGGAATTATAGAGCCGGTGGATGGTGTTTTTTCTCCTATATTTTATCATGTTCGACGCATGTTCTTGAATTTTTTCCAAAAGTCAGTAAAATACCCTTTTACTCCCTTAGGCTCAGATTGCTCTCCGTACCGCATGCTCTACTTCTAAGGTTTGTAAATACATTTGTTCTCCCTCATTGACTGTACTGCTCCGTTATTTTTCCCGGACTTCTTCAAAAAGATTATAGTTTTCTTATGCGATCAGTAACCTTTATTTCCCGATGCCATGGGTTAAGCAGAAAATCCCTCGTTGATTTTATGGTTATCAAACATTTTGATTAAAGTATTAATTTCTCACCGAAGATTCTAAACTACCGGAATTATCCAATACACACTGTTTTAACAAGTACGGCATGCATTTCTTCCATTCGGTCGAAATTTAGTCTTCTTTTCCCGTGCCTCTTATCGCAGTTCCCTCTTGCCTTATCTGTCTCGCTTGTTATTCGACCAAAAAGTGATGATGCATTCATTGCAAACACCTTTGCTTATTTAAAAATGAATTCTTTTTGTTTTCCGTGTTCTGTCACGTCATTTCCTCCAGATTCTCTTGTAGTGTTTGCAGTGCTGGCGTAAATTGCTGAAAATCCTTCCTTTCAGGTGTCTAAAGCTTAACTTGACTTGTAAAGCGTTGGGCATGAATGGTGTAATGATTTTTCCCTAGTCTATGGCGGATAATGTCATTTACCAGTATGTTACAGACCTTTACAACAGCATTTCTGAAACTTGCAAGCTGCATGTCGTCCTGTCCTCTTGAGGTCAGTAGCAATTTCAGCACACTTGCATCTTTACGTTACTTCAGATGCAACAGAATTTAGGAATTTCATCGTCCCATTCATATGCCTGAGCTCTGCGTTAGATGGTACTTTAGTGAAACAGGCCGTCCGCAACAGAATCTGGCCGTAAAAGCTTTGCATTTTTACTCATGTAACTGCTTTTTTAATGATGCAATTCTCTGTCAATGAAAGGGTACAATATCAGCAATACTTGCCGAACATTTACATGCGACACTTATACATATATAAGGAACGGGGGTGGTTGAACGTATAGATTAATAGTCGCTTTACGTTTTGGTAACTGACGCTACATGGCAGGGGAATTTGCAGAGAGAACCTTAGATTTTTACGTGCTTGCGGATGGGCTATAAGCAGGGAGATTTGTCAGCGTTTCAGTAGATTCATGTCTCTACTTTGCACTAAAGGCAGAGTTTCCGTTTTTCGTAGAGCTAACGAGCGGTTTTAATGATTAATCAGTAGGTTATTAGAGCTTATAAAAATTACCTTATGTGTACGTAAACTAGGCAGTGGAGTATAAAAGCATCAACCATTTCAGGTGCGATGATTGATACAGATCAACCAGATTTTTAGGTACGCGTTCAGTTATTCGCATTCCGCTTAGGGTTGCAGCTTGTCCCTTGTTATTCAACCGCTCGGTTCACATGTCAGGTTTGAGACCAACTCCGTGCCTTGTCTAGTCACGTTACACTGCGAGCATAGAGCACGTAGAATATTCTCATGTTGGATGAGAACACACTTCAACACAATCATGTCGAACAGTGATCGGCTACCTAGAAGGCACTCTTAAAACCGAGAGAAATGGCTACCGTTGTTTGCAATGTGTAGTAAGCTGTTCTTGCGCCTGCCGCAAAGTGATTGCACGGTTTCCACATCACTCCGGACGGAATGCGGTATGCTCCTTCCCTCATCCGGGCTGTATATTGTCCGGGTGTTCAGAGTAGGGTGCAAGGCTATAACCTAGGTGAGCATCTGAAAAGATCAGACAACCAACTTACGCATCCAAATCCCTTGCAGCTAGGATGATATCTGAAATAACAGCACTGCGAAATAGCGTATCGAGTACGTGGTAGAAGGCGTACATGATAATAGCCTCAAAGTTGCAGCAACTGTAGATGGCAGGACTCTGAAGGTACCGCAACTGCCATCGATGAATATTTGGATCGTAGAAAGAAACTGGTGGTTTGGAGAGTAGTTGGAGGAACGAATGCGGACTAATGTGGGGAAACACCTACAGTATTACTATTTCACTTATCCTCCCTAGTGTGCGGAGGAAATGTGGCGCCCTTTCGAGACTTGTTGATAGCGGATGCAGGACGCGGCTGGAATCACATGCTATTTTTATTCCTTGTTGCGTATGATTTAAATGATAGTAATGACATCCAAACCTTATGAAATGATTGGGGTCCTCAACCAAAGTCCGAGCCGTAGAGCACGAAGGAATGAAACCTCATGCATGTCTACATTTGACTACGGGGTAGAAAGATATCGCCGTAAACACAAGGATGGTTTAACGGGAATAGGAAAACTAGACAACTACATAATAAACTTTCATCCACCAATCCGGCAGGTCCCCTACAATTCTTAACGGAGCACTGCGGAGCGGATCCCTCTGTACCACTTGCATCTCGCCCTACAGTCAAGTCAACAAACGATGCTCTATCCTTGCCGACGGAGTAGAAGACAATTTAAAATTGCGCGCATTTCGCATGGTCATGAAAATGTTGTGTTATTATAGTTAACTAGCAATATCTTGTTTTCGTCGCATTCTGCGCCGTTGTCTTTTGCGTATTCTTAGAAGTTTGACTAGCCTCAAGCTTTTGACCTGTGTTGTTGCATTTGTTAAAGTTATTCCTTGACATACCATCTTTTTATTCTTTTTTGCTAGCTCTGTTCCGACTATCCGCAGTTTTTGCACCGTTTTCTTTTTTCTTATTTTGATTTTTTTCCATTCGCTGACTTGTTGCATCTGTTCATAGCTTCACATTGTGTACTTTGTAATTGCTTGGCGCGTGGGAAAACCGGTCTAACTACTATGGGTGTTATTTGAATACGAAAACGTTTTCCTTTTCTTTTGAGCTTCCTGAAGCATCTTTCTCATAATTACTCAGGTACGCAGTCTGTCATAGATTGTTTTCCCTCATCTGTCATGTGTATAACCTAGAATGATTCCTATTTTCATTTGGCCAGCAAAAACTACATTGTTTGACCGCCAAGGATTGCACAAATGGATTGCTCAGTCGCTCAACTCCTCCACGTCAGTTTCCAGAGCCCCCACGAGCTCCCACTCATTTGGTAAGTATTTCTTCGATATCTATTTCTAAATGGAAGACGATACTGACGTTTATTTCCTATAAACGTTCACCTTTTTCATCATTCCGGAGTTTTCTTTATTGCCGTATATTTTTCTCACCGTTCCAGTTACTCAATTGCGTCGCTCAAGTTATCATTTGCCGACTTGTTCTGATGGGATTTATATCTACTTTACTCCTGAAACCTAACACCTTCGATTCGTTTCTTTTTCTACTGCCACACTTATACATGGCTAACTGCACTGATACCCGGCTGCGTACCCATTTACCCATATCAACGCACGTTTTTTGCTAATGAATGTAATCATTTGCGCTAGTTTTTTGTCTGCTTTTCTCTCAGCAGCCTCTCTCTTTTATTTCATAATTAAGTTGGAGCCTGAATTATCTTGTACTATCTACGTGTTTAGTCCATTTTATTATCCATTACGTACTTGCAGTATCCCTGTTCACTAAGCGAACATTATCTCCGAAATCTCTAAGATCTAGCACCTTTCCGGTGTTTCACCTATTCTTCTTATTGATCGACTTCGTTGAGTCAATCAGTCGCGTTCGTTTACCTGTCAAGTTTATCTTAGTATTGTAATTGCATATGCCTGAAGTGAATTGCTGACAAGTGTTCTCTTCATAAGTGTTATGGTTCTATTATCTGAATAGGCATGATTAATGAACTAAAGGAACGCAAGCGGCCCGCCGCGTTTTCCAACTTCCAAAAGTTTTTGAAGTTTAACGCTAGGTCTGCAGAAACGAAGACCGAGATTATTCTGTTCATACGCGAACGTATGCAACGGAATCCGTATCCCCAACCTTACTGAGGCGCAGTCACGTGCGTCCGACTGCAAAGTCATTAAAGCATCATGCTTACGACATTCTGGAAGCTATTAATTCACAACTTCGGTAGTTGGAACCACTCTGTTCACATTATCAGTCATCCCTTGATGAACTCAGCCAAGACAAAGGTAACTCTTTTGACACCTACGTACAAAGTGTGTTTGTGTGTGTACTAAAATCTCGGAGAGGAAGTACACTCTCGCTGAAAAGTCTGGAGCCTAACATTTCTAAATCGAAATATCTATTACACTCAAAATGATACGTGCATAACCTTGCTAGTATGCAATTGAACAAATGGCGATTGGAAGTCCCACTGCCACAGAAATTTATTCCTCACAACCACGCAACAACCGATTGACTTGACTCCCACGTCTCCGCTCGCCAAAAATACTTTGGTGCACCTTTCTCAACAGTACCTGAACTGCAAGCCACAATTATCACTGGTGAGCATCGGAAAGCTGTTACGGGACTAACATATATACCTGGCGTTATGCTATCTCGGCCAGACAGAGCGTTGGTTTGAGTACCGATGGATTGGTCCGACTACATGGAAAAGGTGCAAACCATACAAAATTCAGGCTTGATACGATACAGAATGATAGCAAGGTATAAGATGGAACCGAACTCATCAAATCACTAATGCATCTGAGGCGCAGTAACTATTTTGATGGATGCGCGCTCGTGTGGGTCGCATCTACCTTGCCTGCAAGGATTACCGAAAGTGCACAAGCCCAACATACCACTGCGTCTGATCATCGATGTGTCTCCGTGCACTCAGTTTTTAAATGGCTTGTTGGAATGCTTGAGGTACTGCGCGGAGAATCATCATCCCATACTGTGAGTGATTCATTTGAATTTTTTAGCGAATTGGTAGACTTTAATGTGAATGCTTTCCGTTGACGTAGTATATCTTTTCACAAAAGTCCCTTTGATTGAAACTGTGAATTTTCTTTGCGAATACATAGCTGATAGCAACATTGTTATTGGAATCCGTTTGGAAATGATAAAAGAACTAATCCTGCGTTATACCTGTAACGTGCAGTTCTTATTCGACGAAAAATACTATCGGCAAATCGATGGAGTCGCAGTTAGGGCGCTTCTAGCCGATTACTTCCTCGCAAAAGTCGAGCGTGGACCAATTCGGCACCATATCAATTCTCTTCATCTCTATCGGCGGTAAATGGATGACACATTCATCGCGTGTGACTCTCACGTCGATGCTGCTCACTTACTGGACCAGTTTAACCACGCGCACCCATCAGTAAAATTCACTTCCGAGCTGGAAAATGACGGCGAACTTCCGTTTTTGGATGTTCTGTTGCGACGTCGAACTGGGGACTCACTTGAGAGAAGAATTTTCCGTGATACAACCTGGGTGGGTCATTACACGCACTTTCTTAGTTTTGTACCCATTAAGTACAAGAGAAGCTTTGTGCTTTGTCTGTACTATCGGGCCGCAAAAATTTGCAGTCCAGAAACGCTAAAAGCTGAAAGGGAGTTTCTTCACAAGACATTGCATAGGAACGCGTATCCCTCCGCGTTTATTAAAGCATTCCGCTGTTTCTGATCAAATTAAAGCGATGTCGACTGTAAAAAGTAGGATGTTTTCCTCTCAGCTCTTTTCAAAGAAGATATCGCTTTTGAATTGCTGAATGGCAATTGTTGTATGGCAAAGAGCCAAGCAAATCCGACCGCTAAAGTTCATTTCTTTGCTGAAACTGTTCCGCTCATCATCACCCAACGCTTTAGAGATAGAAACCCGGCTCGTTCCTAATCTTTTGTTCTATATCAGTTCATCTGCACACGATCAGGTCTATCTAGACGGATATTGGAACGCTGTCCTGCCTCTGCAATTTGGTATAGTTAAGAATGTCCTAGCTCGAGCCTCTGATTAGTATCGGCCATCAAATTCGGACGGATGACGTCTTCAAAGTAGTCTATGCGACATCAAGGTGCAACAGAGGAATCAAAAACGCTTATTGGCCACCGCCATTGCAATCAGGATATTTCAGCTGGATTTGTGCAAACAGAACACTGGTACAATTTACCGTGCCGTCGCGGCTTTAACGTCGTACCGGGTTACGGGTGATTGACCATTGTAAACTAACGCGTCTGTGCTTTATGCATGTGTGCGTCTTCCCGCGTGCTCGCGCGCCTCTATGGTCTGACTGTATCGACTTCGTTGAGTTAACCTATCGCATCCCCAGCTTTCGCTTACCTATCACGATGTTCAACCAATCAGGATAAGCCCAGGGTCTCGGATCACAGCATCACTTACTCGTCGGAAAACTTGCTTCATGCTGCTTGGTATCGAGCAACTGGTCTTGGACCTGCATACTTCACAGGACGGTGGGGCCGACCACGTCTGACTTTCACACGTACCTTTGCTAGAATGCATTGTATTGCATTGGAGTGTTTCGGCTCCCTGCTTGGAGCGTCTCGGCTCCCTGGTTGGGGTCCGAAAGACGATGAACACGTTTGGTTGGACACACTTGCTGATATGGCTAGGAGCCGACCTCAGTGGCGTTCGTGCTGTGAGTTTCTTTGTCCCACCCCATCCCTTTTAGCCTTCCCCTCCAACCACCATCTCATTATTTAGCCTTATATAATTTTGCATAATAATTTTTCTGGGTGCACAGCAGCCGGCTGGTAGCTTACCGGAACGACGCCCATCCGTTACCGGTAGCTCAGCCAGCTTTCACCAGTTGCTTTTTTTCTCTCCTTTTTCTATGTATTGCGGCACAGTAGCTGAGGTGTTCCCCACCTCTAGCTAACGTGCATGATGATGATGATTGCTAGAATGCGAGACCGGTCCAGTTGCTCTGTAAATCCGACGGGCGTTGCCTATCAAGTGATTATCCAATCAGTATGTGCCAGGCCCCAATGCATGTGTGATTCTCAGCGGTGCAGACTGGTTGGGGTGTTGTTTTACGGTACCCCTATTTTTGATCCGAACACATGATCCCAGCTGCAGTGGAATTGAGGTTTTGGCGTAGGATTGTTGGTAGGTTACTATGCGGTTTGACACTTCGGGATTTACAGAAAAGGACATGTGCACAGTGTTAAATTTGGTGCGTAAGGGTCATCCTAGCATCAGTTCGGTAGGCGTTTTCCTTTTGGCTCTGTGTTCAAGGTTCTGCATGATAGCAGAGTCGTTAAGACAGCTTCTTCCCATTCCACCCCTGCTAGTTGGATGACTCGTATTGCCTCCACATATATAAACCTCAGGCCATCTGCTGTAAAAGCAGGTTGCAACAAGTAGATTTTCCTTATTCACGGGTGCAATCGCAAAGGGGCCCATAACATCAATTACAGTTTTGGCCCACGGCCTCATCGGATATGATGTCGGTTGTACGGGAGCCACAACAGGTAGAGAACTTTTATCTGCCAACCGGCAAGCTTGACAGTTTTACACAAGTGTTTCAATACTTGATGCCATTCGTGGCCACCAAAAGTAAGGTCGGACTTTAATTTTACTTCTGACAATAACCGGATGATCCTCATGAGCACACACAATTCCTTTAATGTACAGCGACGATGGATCTACAAATACTGGGCCATCGACTGAAAGTGCGTCTCGAATTGGGTAATACGGAACGAACTCACAGGAAATTTTGTTATTCTTTGGCCATTCCCTGCTGAACGTAAGCGACGAGTTGCCGCAGCGTCGTGTCTCTCGCACTCTCGGTTTGCAGTTCATTCATCGTCAGGGTGGACAAATCGGATCCAAGACTAGGCACCATTGCCATCTCTTTGAGTGCCTATTTTCTATCCTCCAGATCCAAAGCGGTATACCCCATCCGATCCTGGAGCGTAAACGATTTGGAAATCTGTAGTATTCTTAGTGTAGCTGAGAAGTTTGGCGTACCAAAAATTGATTCACATCGGGCGGAACCCTTTAGTACTATACTTAAGGAGGGCGGTGAGAGCGAAGTAGTCAGCTTGTAAAGTGAAACGGTGGCCAAAGTGGTAAAGATGCCATTTTTCCCAAGCCCACACACAAGCAAGGGCTTTCTTCTCGCCGACGGAGTGGTGACGTTCAGAGTTCTGCGAAACAAGCAATACCTTTCTCTTCATCGCTGCGTAGTTGTGAAGGGACAGCGCCGGGGCCGACATCGTGAGCATCAGTTGACACAAAAGTATGGCATGACTTGT